GAGCGCCGCAAGGAGTGACCAGGAACAATGGTCACAAGCTGGCAGAGGGAAGGTTTAAGTTGGACATCAGGAGGCGCTACTTCACGGTCAGGGCGGCTAGGGTCTGGAACCAGCTTTCATGTGAGGTGGTGCAGGCTCCCACCCTGGGGGTTTTTAAGAGGAGGTTGGATGACCACCTTGCTGGGGTCATTTGACCCCAGTGCTCTTCCTGCCATGGCAGGGGGTCGGACTAGATGATCTGCTCAGGTCCCTTCCGACCCTAGAAACTATGAAACTATATTACTCAAGATCGTGCAGCTGACAAGGGGAAAAGGCATTGGCAATGTGTAGTGGGTGCACGTGCACCCCCCTGACAGAAGCGCTGCTGAGGCTGCTGGCAGTGCCTGTGCGCGGTCGCCACTTGCCACCCCTGCCCTCGCCACCGACACCAACAGCGGCATCTGTGGGCAGTCCCCGATCGCCACTGCCATTGCAGCCAGTGGCATCTGTGGGTGGTTGCCAACCGCCAGTTGGCACTTGCCCTCCCCCTCCCCCCGACACCACTGTGGCCATCTGCAGGAACTCCCCACTCACGGCTGCCTGCGGGCAGTCACCATGCCCACCCCAGCCTCTGGGGGCACACATCATTCACGGGAAAAGGAAAGGCCGTATTTTCTGCTATCTACAAGTCAGTTACACTCCTTGCCCTACTTTCTTCCTGACTTAGCAGGACCACCCTCTTCAGAAGCCAACCACTGCTTGGTCTCCATATAGGCTCTGTCCTTGTAAGGCCTTTCCCTTCACAGAGTCCAGAGACCTCAGCAGGGTGGCTTCTGTTTACAGGGACTTCTACTGGGCTGAGGTGCAAGACAATCAAAGGTCACTCCTCTGAAGACTTCCACCAGGTCTTGGGCTGTGGTCTATAAGTGCTTTGTGCACTGAGCTAGCCAGCACCTTAATAAAACTGCCTTGAGTAACAGTGCCTAAAATGGAGGCACTCCAGAAAATGGCCTTGATGCTGGCCAGCATTGGATACTGTGGAAGAAAATGAAACTGTCAGTGCATCCACACTATGCAATGCTGCAACAGACAGACAAGGAGACTCCTTTTAAACAACTCAGCTGATGACCAGTTTGGGTCCTGAAGTGTAACAAAAGCACGTGGCCCTTGTAATTTTTATCCTAGCTAGCTGCCCTGCTAAGGCTAGTCCTGCTCACATAAGCCTCCCATTCAACACTCCTATGTCAGATCACGTACCATCTGTATATTCCTCAGAGGAAGTAAGTGATAAAAGGCTTTGTATGTCACTGTTTTCTGAGTCTTGAGCCTCTTGGTGCACAGGCCTGCTGCTAGCCACACCAGCTACCCAGGAAGAGGTGGTGGCCTGGTGCACAAGAACAGTCTCAGAGCGCTGAGAGCCACTGGCTTCATACAGTCCAGAGCGTCCTGGGGCCTCATCCTCCCCAGTGAAGCCATTACGAGCTCCCTGGTCCTGCAGCTGGTGATGCTGCTGTTGCATCTCTCTTGCTCCACTCTGCCCAGCTCCCTCTGACAGCACGATCTGCACCCGTGAATCCGAGGGTGGAATGCAGTTCCCTGCGCTGCCATAGACTGCTTCTTCATACGACGGCAAAGCCACTTGGACACCATCCACCATGATAGAAACCTGGTCCCCAGACACACCTTGGTCACGTCTTTAAAGAGAAAAAAATAAAGGTAAGAGTGAATATGGAGACCGACAGCCCACTGGGTCTGCAAGAAACCTCAGCAAGCCAGTGAGCCACAAAGTCAATGCCCCCAATCCCCATCATTCAGGATGTATGTATGTCAAATTTTACCACAATCTCCTTAAATGCAGTCATTTCCTTGCAGCTCTCCTGTGCCCTGCCATGCAAATGACCACAGCTCAGATTTTCTTTCCTTATGATGACTGTGGCAGCTGGAGAAAGAGCCTGGATATCTGCCCTCAGGTGAGGCACCTCTAATTGGTAACCACATCTGCAGCTGCACAGGGAGCAGCAGTAATTAGTTCAGGAGATAACTCTGTGCCCACCTGGAGGAAGAGTGGCACAGCATAGTGTAGACCTCTGGTGGCAACAGCAGCTAAAGCATGGGACCATCAGCACTTCCATACGCAAGAGAGAAGGGAAACATGTATTTTGTGATTTCCCCTCAGCAGGGATAAGCTGGAGAAGTGAACATTCACCAGAAGCTCTTGAACAGCCATGTTCCTCTCCCTGTCCAATTTTATTCATTGGATGGTACCAGCACAAGCTGCAATGATAGTAGTGATTGAGGGATCTCGCCAGCAAACTGGGCCGGGAAGAGGCAACGAACTGCAAAGCACAACAGATGTACACACCCTGGGCTCTTTGGTAATATATCCAAGGCTGAGAAAGGAAAAGGTTGAAGGACAGGATGGTCAGGAATAGGAATAGCTTGTTTTGTTTAAAATACAGGAGAGCAGAAGAGCAGATATCTCATGGGATAGCTCAGCAGACAAGCCATGGCATTATCATGCCTGTTGCACCACAGGGTTAGGGAGACTTTCAGGAGGAGCAGGGCTGCACAAGCTCCAGGCAAGCTGCCTCACAAAACCTAAGCACTGCACTCCTAAGACCATGAGTCACCCACTCATTCTGCAGCTGCCAAGCTTTTTCCACCCACAATACCGCCTTTGCTTCATCACTGTGCTGGACAGCAGAAACCAACAGGTGTAAGGGGAAAAAAATCATCACAGCTCCAGTACTTTGGAAGTTTGTTAAGCCTTAGGTTTCAAACATAACAGAGAACTCCTCTTCTCTAGAGAAAATATGGCACAATGCAGTTAATTGAGAGTTCTGGTCCAGCTTCTAGTAGACCACACTCATTTGACAAAACCCACCATCTCTACCTTAGTGCTAACTGTTACCTTTGCTGTCAATCTGCAATAGAGAGACCAAAGACCACAGGGACTGGAAACTAAGCCATGTCCAACTGGGCTTTTGGCTGAGACACTCTTGTGGAAGAAAAGCTGATACTAACACGGCCAAAGCTGGATCTGTTCGCAGATGAAAAGAACGCGGTCTCCCTCTGGATCAATCTGATGGCAACTTTTGCTAACATTAGGTTTAATCAGGGAAGACAAGTTATAGCACTAAAAAACAGCCCCTGAACAGCAGGATGTGCAGCCATTTTATGGAAGTCAGCAACTCAGCTAAGCAGTGATGGAGAAAAGCAGAAATGGGTGAAAGAAGTGAAAAACCCCAGAGCTGAAAAAGAAGAACAAGGAGCTAAGTAAAGGTACAAATCCAGTACCTTCCTGGACTGCTCCTGGAAGTAAATAGGCCTCCATGGCAATCACTCACCAAAGGTGAAAGCAGCCCCCAACTTAGCTCACCTGCTGTGATGGAAGGACTTCAGCTTTGGCTGCAGCAAAACAAACAACACCACGAGGAGCAGGATCAGAGCTACTGAACTTGCTGTGGAGGCCACGATGGACAAGGTGGGCACCCCAATCGTTGGGGGAGAATCTTTGCCTACAAAATCCGAAAGAAACAGAAATTAAATCATTCATGTCCCAAAAAAGCAACTGTACAAACAAAGTGCATGCTAGGCTCCTCTGAAAAGACTTGGGGCAGCTCAGGGAAAAGACAAACAAAAGTGAATAGAGGCTGAAGGGGTTGATTTAAGAGATCGACGCATAGCTTGAATAAGGGACAACTAACCAAGAAACCCAGTATTACCAGAGAGAGAAGAATTGTTCAGCTTCATAAAAGGGAATTTAGGCTGAACAACAGGAAGACTTCCCGATAACGGGATTTCTTAGCCCATGGAATGGGCTCCCATGGAAGAGACGGAAATCTCCTTTCTTGGCATATTTATAATGTAAACATGTTGCTAGTAACCAGACAGTAAGAACCATCCTATGAACTAGAGAGCAGGACTGAGATGCCCCACCCAGTCCTTCCCGTCTCTGCTTTGTGCATCTGCCTGGGCACTGCTGCTATTCCCTACACTGTGTATGTGACAAACAGCAATTTCTGTACAAACCTTCTCCCCAGTGATCTTTAGTTCATATACAGGGCATCCTCACGTAACTCACTCCAGTATAGCACAACTTCCAGTTTGCTAGAATTCAATGTATTCCTTAGGGCCACAACCAAGAGTCTCAAAACACAGCCAGGTGGCCTGAAAACCTATCCTTGCATTCACTTCATCATGCTCTAGTGTTGGCCTGCTGGGTGGCTACTTTTGTCCTCAAATAGCTAAAATGTTTCAGTGGCAGGTAGAAGCTTCAGAGAAGCACACCATACTACATTCTGCTTTTGTACCCTGAAGGGAGATTGAACTGGGCTTTGTGTTTCGGGAGATTTTTTTTCTGGAGGAGTGGAGGGGTGAAAAACTTACCAGGAGGGGTAAGC